GAAAGCTTAGCACCTTTTCACCGGAATCGAAGGAGATTGCCTCGGAAACAGCGTCAGCCTGAATCTTCCAATAAAGCCAATCGATGGCTGGTCAAAAAGAATCCGCCGTCGTCTTCTGGTGGAACCGACCTTCGAATCTCTTTATCCAAAACTTTCACTCGAAATGGAAATAAGCTCAACAATTGCTTTCTCGTGTCTGTGCTAAAGTTAGCGTTCATCACTTTACATATACCGTATTTTTCGGCGTATAAGACGACTTTTCACACCATAAATTTCTGCTCCTAAGTGGGGGGTGTAGTTTGGGGATCGCTAATTAGGATATGGTTCCGAGCTCCTGTTGTGCCCCTTACCTCCTTACAAAATCTATATTTTAACTGGGAAAATACGGTAGGTGAAACGTTAGTAAAAACAACAAGTCAGCGGTCCGAAGCAGAAGACACAGGATCGTGTAGCTCCTGCAAAGTTTGCCTTTTCCACCGACCAAGTTGTGAAGACGAGGCCAAACCAAAACCGTGTAGCTACAGAAGACCGCAATCAAGGTCACGCCATCGTGGTCTTCATATTGATGATGATTTTCGCATTAATATGGCCCAAACCGGTTGTATCCGCGTTGTTTCCATGATCCCTCCGTGCAGGTGTATTATTTACACTCCAAAGGAGGACTGTTGTCTCGGTGGCTAAGTTGCCAGAGTCGTGCAAGAGCGCTCGGCCCCTTGAAATAATATCCAACCCAACAACATACCGACTTTGTGAAGCGCCTGTTGCCATTCCCTCCCTCAGATCGCCTCAACCCAGCCTCATTTTGACCCTCTCCGCAGGGAGTTTAGTCAACCCGACGGTATCCTCCTCCAGCCTGACGCCAGTCATTCGGTCCAGGGCAACACGGTTTCTCTCTCTCTCTCTCTTGCTTTTCTCTCCCGCTTTCTCAACTCGACCATTTTGTACCGCTGGCCGGTCACAATTCCGCCCATGTCAGCCGAGTCGCCGCCTCGTTGTGTTCACACGTCATCCCGGCCTGGCAGTGCGAGCCGATCAGCCGCCTCGGGACGAACTCACCGACCCCGTCCGCCCGGATATTGGTACGCCCCCATCTGCAGGAAGACAATGAAGGTGTTTACAGGGTCTGTCCAACTGGAGGGGTTGATGGGTGAATCTGAAGCCTAGAGATTTCAATTTCAGATTGTTAAAATCAGACCTTTACAGGTCGCCTGAATAGCCAGGTCCCCAGGCCCCCTGGGAGACCCACATGCTGGCAAACCGTAAAGAGCATCGAGGGGATGCAGGCCAAGCCCTATAAAGGCAGCTCAGGCATGAACAAATATCAACACGTGAGCCCGCATGCTGGCCACCCTTCCGAGTGGTTACATGAACAGTTTAATGACTGACCGATGGCTCCCAGTCACATCAAATGCCCACAATTGGCAAGTTACAATTGCACACCTGCAGGCTCTACTCTCTCTCTCTCTCTCACACACACACATACACCCTTGTGCGTTAGGATGCCAACAGGGTCTGAGAAGTATCATCGGAAGTAGTTTACGTCACCCGTCTATTGATAGAGTCGACGTAATCAGTTGACTGGGCACTCTTTACTGCGTCTTTACTGCCTGATCTATTCATTTTGTCCCGGTATCCGATTCTGCTTCAACACCTTCAGCAAGTCAAGTGGACGATGTTGTAGCCGCTCGGTACGTCCAGTGGAACAGCTGACCGGTCCACTACGACCTGTTGACGGACATCTTTTGGATCTGGACGCACGGTTATGCCTGGCCCGACCAACGTTCTTTGTCAGTCGCGGCAAACATTTTATTGGCCTGTCCAGCCTTCCTGTCACAAATGACAACTTTGGTGATTATTAAATCTTGTACTCTACCCTTGTCCGTTTGTGCACGGCCACGTCTATTCATAAAATATGCACAAAGTTCTTTTCGGTTTATTTGTCTGCACTACAGACTCACCTTGCTCGGGATGGACACTTGTCGGCAGGAGTATTGAAAGGCCTGTATATCTTTGCAGGTGACGACCACTTGTCGGTATCAGTGTTCTCATCAATGCTGCCTCAACCCTCAAGTTTGGCCATCCGCCAAGTGTACACAATACAAATCTTCTTTTTGCCCAGGGGCTGAATTGCCGGATACCATCATAAGCAAGACTATGATGGATACGCTATTCCTAACCGGCCGCCCAGTAGCGCTGCCACAATGGAAGGCCAACAGCAACATCACACATTGCATTTACGAGAATGTTTGGAAACACACGATGCCCAACACGTCGAACGGGTTGATCAGACACAAAAGGGCACTTCACGTTTGTCAGAATTGGCATTACCGCCCGAGCAGATGATGATTTACGCAGCGAATAAAGGCCATAAATGGAGCTGACCTCTGAAATCATCCCAGAGCTGTCCCTGTTGGGTGGTTCGGCAACTCGTGAGGCCCAAACTTAGCAGATTAGCATATGAGGGGATGGATAATGATAAATGCCATTGCGGATAATACTACTGTTGAATGTAGCAATTGTAGGACCTGTGCTATTTTGAATATTAATGAAAGTTTACAATTACCCTAAAATTACCCTAAACTGGTTACGTAGACGCTGCACTCAAATTGGTCATGCTAAAACCTGGAGAGGGTCAGAAGCACAATCACACTTTTGGCAGAGAAGGAGTCGGGACCTCAGGTCATCGGACACCAGGTGGCCAGTTTATCACACGAACTTGACTCCGACCCTGTAGTGAGGGCACAATAAAGTTATCCAGCCCAATGACAGGTATGAGGATTAAGATGGTGTGGCCCTGTGTTTGGTTACAGTCTTCTTCAGCTATGTAGCATTGGTTTGACTTCGCTTTCGCAACTTGGATGGCTTCATCATTTGCCAGAAAGGTCGTGATAATTTCAAGCATCGCACCAGTGATTTGATACATTCCCAGACGTCTCAGAATCGCCAAAAGTGACGAGTCACTTTGGTGAGTTGGAACTCGGTGCTAAGTTTGGCGCTTCTCATTGAAGATACTGGTATGACGTCAATAAGTCAATGGTCTGTGGCTGGAAATTGTCATGACTGGTAGGATAGAAGACGCGGGAATTGCTATGTTCTCCTTGCTGCCCAGACAAGGTTGCGAAAACGAGACTATATTAAAACAAACCCAATCTTTCATAAGTGTAATCAGAAAAGACGGTTGACGATTACTCTTTGGCTGTCCACTGTCCTTCTTCCCATGAAGACACTGACAAATGGGTAAAATTATACATGTCAGACATGTTGTTGAGCTTACTTCCATTTCGAGTGAAAGTGTTGGGTGAAGAGATTCGAAAGTCGGTTCTACCAAAAGACGACG